ACTCCCATTTATTAAGATTGAGAGGTGAGAAGCTTCAAGATTTGCTAAAAGAAGGGTAGTGACAAATGCAGAGAACCCCATTTGTCTGAGCATATTACTGATATACTCCCATTCCATATTATCAAAAGCCTTAGCCATGTCTAGTTTGATCACCAAGTTGCCACTCCTGGTGTTGTTGTCAATCCTGTGTACCATTTCTTCAGTGAGTAAGATTTGTTCCTCAACCCCTTTAAGAGTTTAAAATCCTGTTTGTTCAACTGAAACCACCTTATGAAGAATTTTTTGGAGTCTAGTGGCCAGGATCTTAGTGTTGATCTTGCTCATAAAAGTTGAAAGAGAGATAGGCCTATAATCACAAAAGTTTTTTGGATCATTAGTTTTGGGAATAAGACTGATGAAAGTGCTACCATAGCTGATAGGGACAGGGACCCCAAGGAAGAATTCCCGGGTTGCACTAATGACATCCTTATGAATGATTTCCCAGCAAAATTTAAAGAAGTGGCCATTGTACCCATCAGGCCCTGGTGCACTATCTGGGCTAAGGCTCCAAACTGTATTTTTAATCTCTTCATCACTAGGAATCATTGTGAGAAGGTTGTTGTCTTCCTCTGTAATGGTAGGGGTAATGTAGGCCAGAATAGGGGACATTGAGACTGACTTTCTGTTATTGAATTGATTGAAAAAGTGCTCAATGTCCATCTTTTTAATCACTTCAATATTGGTAATAGGTTTACCATTAGAATCTTCAATAACTCTGATCATGGACTTGGTTCTTCTTCCTTTGACATAGGCATGAAAGAATTTAGTGTTAGAGTCACCCTCCTCCATCCACTTTAAGTTAGCTTTCTGTTTCCAGAAGGTGAACTCATTGTCAGTAGCCATAATGAGCTCAGCTTTAGCCTTATTATAGTTGGCCCTGTTGAAATCAGATTGGTCAGCTTCAAAGCATTCCTGGGCAGAAGTTGCTAACCTTTCTGCATCTTGTATTTTCTCCTGAATATTACCAAAGGATTTCAGATTCCACTCTTTAAGCACAGCTTTCAGTCCTTTAAGTTTAGAAGCTAGCCCATGCATGCCTCCCAAATAGGACCTAGATTTCCAAAAATCAGAAATAATTTGTAGAAAATTATTGTGATTCATCCACATGTTCTGGAATCTGAAAGGTTTGGGACCATAACTCTGATTTTGAAGACATTGGAGGAGGATAGGCTTGTGATAAGATGTAGTGGAGCTGAGGTGAGTAACAGTGATGTCATCATAATTGTTCATCAAAGTGTCATTAACTACTGCTCTATCTAATCTCCTTTGAACTCTACCTCTGCTTCTATTACCTGACCAGGAGGTAAATAAGTTGCCAATCAGCTGAGGGTTGATAAGCCCACAATTTTCAAGGCAGTCATTGAGGTCATCCATGTCTGATTGTAGGGGTGATATTCTTCCAGAGTGTTCAGAGAGATTATCCACAGCGTTGAAATCCCCACCCACAATCCATTCATGGCTGGGAATCATAGAGCAGAGGTTGTTCCATAGGGTTTTTCTTTCTCTTCCAGTGTGTTGCCCATAGACAGATGTAATAATGGTATCTTTGTGCAAAACCAAGTTTCTAAAATGACAAGTAAGATGTTGGTCCTTGTCCAGAATAGAAATAAGATTGAGGTGATCCATGTGCCAAAAAACCCAAATCTTGTTATTTGAGGAGGAATGAGCCTGAGAGAAACCCAGTTTAATTCTGTAGCTATCCAATTGATCATTGGAGACAATAGGTTCAATAACAGCCAAGAAGTTTGTTCT